GGGAAGCTCTTTGAGAAAATTATCCAGGAGCACATCTGCGAGGGACCAGCAGGGGGGAACATGCCGAGGGGCAACCAACATGGTTTCATTAGAGGCAGGTCCTGTCAGACCAACTTGGTTACCTTCTACGACCAGGTCACAAAAGCCTTGGATGGAGGTGTCTCGGTGGACATAGTCTTTCTGGACTTTAGGAAGGCCTTCAACACTGTCTCCTACCCCATTCTCATTAAAAAATTAGGCGACTGTGGTGTCGATGCCTACACAGTCAGAAGGGTCGCAAATTGGCTGGAGGACCACACCCAGAGAGTGGTGGTGGACGGGTCATTTTTTACTTGGAGAGATGTGCGCAGTGGGGTCCCCCAGGGCTCAGTCCTCGGGCCCACACTGTTCAATATCTTCATTGGCAATTTGGATGAGAGTGTAAAAAGCATCTTGTTCAATTTTGCAGATGACACTAAGATGTGGGGAGAAGTGAGCATGCTAGAAGAGAGGGACAGGTTACAACAAGATCTTGACAGGTTACAGAGGTGGGCAGATGAGAATAGGATGGGTTTCAATATGGAAAAGTGCAAGGTGTTGCACCTGGAGAGGAAGAACCAGTACCAGACCTACAGGCTGTGGCAGGCAGGTAGGGGGAGCTCCTGCATTGAGCCTCTTGCCTCGCCACGCCCAACCACGTGCTGGACTCCGTGTGTCTCTCCAGGGTCGCCTAAGCCCTGGCAGACCCCCTTTCGAGCTCCACATCAAAGTCCAGGGGTAACGTGCCGCCACCACCCCAAGAGGGAACCTTCCAGGTTCTGTGTCCTTGGGGAAAAACAGGCCTAACAGTCCTACAAGTACTCAACCCAATACAAGCACTTGGGGTACTTCCCCAAGTCGGGGGCCAAAAAGAATAGTCCCCCTTAGTCCACAGACCTAAGGGGCCTCCTAGGCATAATTAAACCCACCCCTCAATAAGTCTCCTACGCCAGTGACAAAGGAGAACTGTATTGGTTACAGAGGGAAGGGGTAGAATAGGGTAGGAGGTAGAGCACTATCAAGGGATTACCATTTAGCAAAACAGTGTGGCTGAGGTAGCCATTTGATACACAAATTCATCGCTGGGAGCTGACTAGCTCTCTAGAAACACTTATGAGTATCATTCAGAAGATGGTAGAGATCTGGCTCAGAGATTTCCAAAGAGAGCACGTTTCAGATGCATCAGACTCTCTCCATTTGTCCTGATGCTTGTGCCATGCTGGTAAAATGGCTTCTTTCCCTTCTTTTGGGACCAGGCCCTTATATTGCCTTTCTGACCTCAGCAGCCCAGTCCAATAGAAGCCAGCAGTGTTGGCAATTAGCCAACCAATTTAAACAGCACCACTGGTGACCTGGGCAGAGGAGCAGGGGCTTTTCCCTCCCCCACTCAGGTGACCAGAGGGACCACACCTCGGCACCAGGCTTTTGTCACGTAGGCAGGGAGGAAAATCCCCCCTCCCTTAGGAACTCAACCCCAGTGTCCCAAGCTGACCGGGACAGGTTTCTGGAGAGAGACATACGGTGGCATTTCTGCCACACAGGCTGGGGAACTCCCTTCTTGTCAGCACAGAGGCAGAAAATGATCTTGGAGTCATTATTGATTCCAAGATGAACATGGGCCGCCAATATGGGGACGCGGTCAGGAAGGCCAACCGCACCTTGTCATGCATCCACAGATGCATCACGAGCAGGTCCAGGGAGGTGATCCTCCCCCTCTATGCGACACCGGTCAGGCCATAGCTGGAGTACTGCATCCAGTTCTGGGCACCACACTTCAGGAGGGATGTGGCCAGTATCGAGAGGGTCCAGAGGAGGGCCACCCGCATGATCAGGGGGCATGAGGGCAGAGCCTACGGGGAAAGGCTGAGGGACCTGAACCTGTTCAGCCTCAGCAAGAGGAGGCCGAGGTGGGATCTGGTGGCCATCTACAAACTGGCCAAGGGGAACCAGCAGGCTATGGGAGAGTCCCTGTTCCCTCGAGGACTACCGGGAGTAACGAGGAACAACAGCCATAAGTTGACTGAGAGTAGATTCAGGCTAGAATCTAATGGATTGAGGGACTGGCGACTTGAAAGCCATTTTGGATGACATAGTTAAATCACCTTCCAAAATCCCCAGGCTTACCTCTCTACTGCTTTCCTGTGGTGAAATACAAGGACAAATACAAATACCCTCCTTCCAGATCTCAAATAGGCAAACCTCAAGAAAACATTTTAAAACGGAAAAGATAAAGATCTCATAATATTCTCCAAGAGGGATTTTTGGAGATATAGGAGGTCTGTAGAAGCTGATGCAATAGTGCAGTAACAAATGACAATATTAGCATCAAAGCTGAATTTCAACTGACACCAAGACAGTGGTTAAGATGCTGCTCTCCCCTAGCTACTAACTAGTTCAGGGAGACATAAGCTTCAAACTAGATACAGAGATTATTTAAAATAGTGTAAAGCTAAAGCAATACATTGGGCATTTGTGGAATTAATCTGTATTAATAACACAGTTGATTGCTTCTATAAAGATGTTCACTGAAACCACAGTCACTGAAGAATAACTGACATCTTCCTCGGAATAAACCACTTCCATCTCACCAGTTCCACAGAGATGCTTTGATGTCCTTGTTTCTCATGCTGTAGATGACCGGATTCATCATTGGTGGGATCACAGAATACAGAACAGACACCATGAGGTCCAGAGCTGATGGGGACCCAGGTGTGGGCTTCACATAGGCAATCACATCAGTGCTACCCAGCAAGGAGACAACAATGAGGTGGGGAAGACAGGTGGAAACTGCTTTATGCCAGCCCTGCTCAGAGGGGATTCTCAGTACAGTGGTGAATATCTGAATATAAGACACAAATATAAACACAATGCAACCAAGACCTAAACATGCACTAAAGATAAAAATCTGAATTTCACTAGTAAACACCTCTGAGCCAGAGATCCTAAGGAGCTGGGGGATTTCACAGAAGAACTGGTTGATGATGTTGGAGTGGCAGAAGGGCAGCCTAAAGGTGTTCCCCGTGTGCAGGGCAGAGTACAGAACAGCTGTGCTCCAGGCCGTGGTTGCCATTTTCAGACAAGCTTTCCTGTTCATCACTGTCGCATAGTGCAGTGGTTTGCAGATGGCGATGTATCTATCGTAAGCCATAATGGTGAGGATGGCGAGGTCTGCTATAATGAAAAAGTGGACTAAAAAAACTTGGGTGATACATCCAGAATAGGAAATCAGCCTGGTGTTCAGTATGGAATTGGCCATGGATTTGGGGACAATGACAGAGATGGATCCGATGTCGAGGATGGAGAGATTGAGGAAGAAGAAGTACATCGGGGTGTGGAGGTGGCTGTCAAAGGCTATGAGCA